ATCACTGGAGTCATTGCTGTCGTCATTGTAGGCATGATTCACATATTCATAATCGAAGGTTTCCTTAAGATTTTCAACATACTTTTTCCAGTCGATATTGTCTGTCATCTCATGGACGTACGCCAGGACTGGGTCCTCATCCGCGTACCAATTTATATTTCCTTCCGTCGAGACAGTGGCCAGGGCAGCAGCGGACTCGTATGGCTGAATCTTTGTTACATCAATCAACATCATGTAACCACTGCTGGTGAAAACCGTCAATCTATCCGGCAATAAGAACGTTGCGAACACCGGACATCCAGGAACACCTACGGCCCAAATAGGCGGCGATGGGCGAGCCACTTCTATAAGTTCCACCAATCCACCTTTCCGACACACCAGCATTTTCCCACCATCCAGCATCTCCATATGAGTCACCTTCAAGTCCCGACTAGGCTTCGAAGACTTCAGAACCTTCTGTACCGTTTGGTTCCCGGTGTCCACTACCTTTATAGTTCCAATTTCGTCACCGGTGTAAACCTTCATCACCTCTCGTGAATTTAATTTTCAAAATCCGAAGGCCACCCCGGGCAACTTCAACTTGGACAAAAGACCAGCACACGTAGCGGAATTCATAATGTAGACGTATGTTGGAACCTGAGATTATATCTTCCGTTTGTCTGGTACTTCACCCACAGAATTGGCGGGGCCGGGAACAGCTCATTTTGAAGTCGGAGTTGCGTGATTTTAACACTTGCTTTATTAGCAAGTGAAAATGACAGGTGGGCGGTGCCATGAAAAGCCGTTATGGGCTTGTAGGTCGTGATCATAGCACGCAGTCGATTCTCTGCGTTGCTTCCATTCATTCTCCCTATGTTCCAACAGATTCGGTTCTGAAGCTGTTCATACACCGCCTTTCCTTCTTTGACATTCACGTTGGACGTATTTAACGGCAGAGGAAAGTATAGCTTTGCGTCATTGCACTGCACGACTTTAGTATAGTTGGATATGATGCGTAGTTCTAGGGTTATCGTAACGCCACGAAGCTCGAGCGTTGTCAACTGGAGAAGAAACGGTAAATGCATTCTGCCGCACGAGGGAGAGTCCCGATCGAGTATATCGGCTTCATCCACTACCTCATCATTTAGCGTGTGGTCCATGCCCACAGGGTCCATGCCCACAGGGTCCATGCCCACGGGGTCCATGTCCACGGGGTCCATGTCCACGGGGTCCATGTCAATGACGTAAGTGAGAACATCCACCGCGTCTTTGGTGGGTACAAAGGTGACTTCCGAGCCGTCAATGGGCACGACCTGGTCGGGGTGGCCTAGCCACTTGAGAGGTCTGTGGGTGTGCCACCTCATTTGACACAAAGACGTGAGGTTGAGACGAGCGCTGCTGGTCACCTTGCCCGTCGTTTGGCCCGCCACCACCGACGGTACAATCGGTACCACGTCGCGTGACGGCGCGGCGTCTCGGGCTGCGGCCTCCAGCGCTGCGCTCTTCTTGGAAGTAATTGTACTGGTTGCTAGCTCCACCTCGAGGCTTTCGACGACGTCGACGAAGAGCTCGTTTTTACGGTAAGGCTTCGCGGGAAGGGAATCCAGGGAGTTTCGGAGCTGATCCAGATCCGTAGTCTGCGGGCAGCCGAAGTCCACAATAGCCTCCAAACAATGCTTCAGCACATAGACCATGTCCTCCGGGTGCTCGCTAACCACGGACCCCAACACCATACCAACCCGCCGCAGTAGACTTTGGCTCGCAACCACGTCTTCGTTCCCCGAAATCACTCCGTACAAAAGTAAGTCCGACAGCGGCTGCCGCACCACCGACATGCTACGAGTCAGACGAATCACGGGAGGTTTCATCCCGTCTTCCAACCGCGCACCACGAGCACTGCCAATCAGTGCAGATCTAACTAACTGATCTATCTACAGCACAATGCGTGTGCACCTGTGTGTGCACACGTGTGTGCACGCGTGTATGTGTGGTTACCATCTGCTGACTGGCACCGAGAGGGTGGCTCTTGTATAGGTGGCTGACTACAATGTGTTCGTCTTTGATGATCCCGACCGCAAGCATGACTAGTCGATAATTTATGCACCTCGTCACGACATGAACAGCGGCACTACGGCCACTCCGAATTCGTCGCCGTTGTTGCCGTTTGCCAGCTCCCCGCAGGAGTGCACGGCGGTCACGATACACGACGACCAAACGACACAAGCAAGCTCCGTCGCCAAGTCTCGAGCACCGTGCGCGACGCACTCAAACAAGCTGCAACTCATTGAACTATTAACCACGTTCGTCGCCGTTGTCTGCTTGTGGGGAGCATTAGTAATCATCACCCAACCCCCCCTCCGCTCCCGGTACTCCTCCCCTTCGGGTACTCTTCCCCTTCCGGTACTCTTCCCCCCTCCGGTACCCCTCCCCTTCGGGTACTCTTCCCCTTCCGGTACTCTTCCCCCCTCCGGTACC